CACCCAGGCCCAGGGAAGATGGGGGTGCTGTTCCTGGGGTGCTGGGAGGAGCAGGATTCTGGGGGAGCTCCTTCCCCACAGCAGGCTGGGTTGTGCCAGGAGCCTGAGCTGGGCCAGGGTGGGCAGGTGGCTGTGGTATGGGCAGAGCTGTCAAATTCAGCTGCACAATCACATTTTATGTTACGTTATTTTATTTTATATTATTTTATTTTATGTTATTTTATTTTATTTCTTTTATTATCTCCGCACAGGCAACTCAGGGTGGGAGGCAGCTCAGCAGGGAGCTCGGTCACCACTGCCAACCCAGTTCTTCAGCCCTGTCTTCAGCAGGGACAACTGTCATCTTCCCTCCCAGCACCTTCCCAGCTCCCAGCACCCTTGGATGAGGGGCAGGTGAAGAGCAGGGTGCTCAGGCCCACCCTGGGCTGAGGAGAGGGTGGTGCCTTCTCCAGAGGCTGTGGGAGCTCAGCTGCATCTCTCCACATCCTTCCTGCACCTCAGGGACACCTCGGGCTGCTCCAGTGCTGCAGGACCAGCACCTTTTTGTCTCCCAGGGATTCCCACATCTTGTTTTTTCCCTCCTGGCTGCACCTTCCCCCTGGGCTGGGGGAGTCCCTTGGCCTGACAAAGGCACGTTTTTGAGTCCAAGCTTGAAAGGTGAGAGGCAAACCCGAGATCCTACGTGGGCTCTCACCCCGCTGAGATGGAGACGTGGTGGGTGGGCAAAGACTCCATGAGCAGGACAAGCCAGGGGCCAGGATCTGACTCTCCCAGTTCCCAGGAGGTGGAAAGCATCCCAGAGAAGCCAGCCTGGAATAACTGAGCTCCTCCTTTGCCAGAACCAGCGGCTTCCTCTCAGCTTCCTGAGGGTGCCACGAGGTCTGGATTGCACCCAGATGGAAGCACTGCTCGGGCTGACAAGTCCCAGACACAACTGGCTTAGGCAAAACCAACAGCCAACATCCCCAAAAGCTGCAGAACTGAAGGCTGAGCCCTCAGAGCTCCACGGATTCATTCCACGGAATATTCTGAGCTGGGAGGGCCCCACGAGGTCCAGGGGTCGGAGTTTCACCGATTCTTTTTCACGGAATATTCTGAGCTGGGAGGGACCCACAGGGTTCAGTGATCACAGATTCTTTTTCACAGAATATTCTGAGCTGGGAGGGACCCACGAGGTCCATCAGGGGCTGTCCCACCAGCCTCGTGCTGCTGGTGGCAAATCAACCACGACTTGGAATTAATGACCCCTCTGGGGACGGGCCAGGCTGAGCCAGAAGCAGGTCTGGAGCTGAAAGGCAGCTCTGTGCAGGGCCAGGGGGAAGGGGGAGTGTTCTGGCAGAGGACAGCACCAGGGGACGTGTGCTGGCTGCAGCACGGCCTGGAATGCTGAGCAGAGCGGAGATTCCAAAGGTATTGGCAAGGAAAACACCTCCAAAGCTTTGCCCCCCTGGCACGGGGGTGGGTGGCAGGATGCAGAGCAGGGCAGCTCTGACAGCACCCCCTGCCTGGCAGGGTCCCCACGGGGCAGGGACACTTGGGACTGGGCATGGGGGGATGCCCTGGGCAGCTGTGCCAGGTCTGGATAACCCTTTCAGGGAAGAAATTCTCCCTAATACCCAACCTAAAGCTCTCCTGATGCCCCTTGAGGCCATTTCCTTGTCCTGTCCCTTGTCCCATCCCCAGCTGGGTGGCCCTGCCCTCTCCCCAGCCCTCTCAAGGTTCCTGATTGCACTTGTGCCTCACCAGGAGCTTCATCCAAAGCAACAGTCCCACTATTTTTGGGAGCACCTTTGGGATCCACAGGGCTCCTTGGGGTGTCCCAGGCCAGCTCTGGGCACTCTTTGGGTGCTCCAGGGCAGGGAGAAGTGGAGCCAGAGGGACAGTGCAAAACTGCAACACAACCTGCAACACCTGCAGCCCCCCCTCTCTGGGCTTGTCACCCCTCCCGAGCCGAGCAGCAGATGATCACCAGTATAACCCCCAGTTTAACCCCCCTGTGCTGAATTCAGCACCATGTTTGCAGCAAAAATAGCTCTGCCTGGCTTGCAGGAGCAGCTGGATCCATCCTTTGGCTCCAGAGCTCCAGCCAGCCCTGCAGGAATGGCTTTGAGGTGGGACTGGGGGGATTCCCAGCAGCTCCTGGACATAGGTGGGATCTCTGCAGGTTGAGAAACACAGAATCCCACCAGGTTTTGCTTGGAAGGGACCTTAAAACCCATCCCATCCCATGGGCAGAGACACCTTCCACCAGCCCAGGGAGCTCAGAGCCACATCCAGCCTGGCCTTGGACAATTCCAGCAAAAATCCCCCCATTCCCACTAAACCACATCATGGAGTGCCACATCCAAGTGTTGTTTTAGCACTTCCAAGGATGGTGACTTGGATAAAACCCACTTGGCTCTTTCCAACGGGGTCCCAAATTTCCCCCTGTTTGAGCTTTGTGCCCCCCCAGGGGTTCTGTGTGCACACAACGACTTTATTCCAGATCATGGAATCCTGGAATGGTTTGGGTGGGAAGGGACCTTAAAAATCACCTCGTTCCAGCCCCTGCCATGGGCAGGGACACCTTCCAGGGCCCAGGCTGCTCAGAGCCACATCCAACCTGGCCTTGGGCACTTCCAGGGCTGGGGCAGCCACAGCTTCTCTGGGAAATCCATTCCAGGGCCTCCCCACCCTCCCAGGGAAGAATTAAGAATAATTGCTGTGCTGTTCCAATTACAACAACGTGGCAAAAAAATAATGTTTTATACATAGGAGGTGCATAACTCTTCATTTGCTTGGGTGGCATTTTTCCAAACCAGAGCCATAATCCTGTATTACAATTCCTGTTTGTATCTGCACCCCAGACATTCCCCTCTCCCTGAGCTGCCAGGCAGAGCTGAGAGGAGGAAGCTGCTTATTTCCAAATTCCTGAAGAAGTCCAGGCTTTGGAAGCAGCTCTCAGGCTGCTGATGCTTTTATAGGTTGGAAAAAGGGGGGAGGTGGGAGAGAGGGAGGGAAGAGGTTGTGCTTTTAATAATGAAGCTCGTGCGAGTCAAAAATCAGCATCAGAAGAGGCAGAGAAAAATTAATTTTGTGTTTATAATCTATTCTTACATAGTCAACATTTCACACAGTGGTAAATGCATTTTGCAAGGTGTGTTCAGCTACTGATGGCAAAACTCCGGCAGGAAGGGAGTGGAAAATACCCAGATTTCACCCCTTTTTAAAAATTTTTGGGTTTTTTTTCTGATAAAGAAAAATATGTGTGTTTGGGGTGTTCTATTTTGATCAAACTGCAAGGGGGTGTGAGCTCCCAGAAGGCCCAGTCCCTTCCCTTCCCAAACCTTCCCAAACCTTCCCTTCCCTTCCCTTCCCAAACCTTCCCTTCCCAAACCTTCTCTTTCTCTTTTCCTTTCCCTTCCCTTTTCTTTTCCCTTCCCAAAACTTCCCAAAACCTTCCCTTCCCAAACCTTTCCCTTGCCTTCCCTTTTGCTTTTTCCCCTTTCCTTCCTTCCTTCCTTCCTCTTCCTCTCTCTTTTTCTCTTTCCTTTCTTTCCTTTCCTTTCCTTTCTTTTCTTCCTTTCTTTCTTTTTTTGGAGCTCTCAGACCAAAGGCAAAAGTGTCTCCAGGCATTCCATGACCCAAAGATGCTCCAGGAAGACTCAGAAAACCCGAGGCTGCTGTGACAGGACAAGAGGGAATGATTTTGAACCAAAGGGGAGAGATTTAGATCACATAAAGGAAGGGGGGGTTCGAACACTGGAACAAGTTGCTGCCCCATCCCTGGAAGTGTCCAAGACCAGGTTGGATGGGGTTTGGAGCAACCTGGGCTAGTGGAAGGTGCCCCTACCCATGGCAGGGGGTGGCACTGGATGGGCTTTAAGGTCCCTTCCAACCCAAACTGTTCCATGGTCCATGAAGGAATTAAATCCCCCAGCCCAGGCAGCAGAGCTTGTCCTGCAGGTAATGGAAAGGTGGTTTCAGCCCTGTAAATTGAGCTGATGGATGCAAATCCTCTTGGGAAACGGGCTGAGACCCCCAAAAAAGCCAAAGGTGACAACGAAACCAGGAACATCCAATCTCCAGGGCCCATCCCTGCGTGCCCAGCAAGGCGCTGGCTCCTGCTTTCCACTCATTATTCCAAAGTTTGCCCATCTCTGGGACAACTGGCTGCTGGGCAGACCATGAGCAAAACCAGGAAGGGAGACCTGGATTCCAGAGGGAATCAGAGCTGCCTGTAAGGTGGACTCTCCTCCTGCTGGAGAGGGACTTTGGACAAGGGCAGAGTGACAGGACAAGGGGGGTTGGGATTAAACTAAAGAGAAAAGGTTTCGATGGGACATTCTGAGAAAATCCTTCCCGGGGAGGGTGGGGAGGCCCTGGCCCAGGTTGCCCAGAGAAGCTGTGGCTGCCCCTGGAATCCCTGGAAGTGTCCAAGGCCAGGTTGGATGGGTTTTGGAGCAACCTGGGCTGGTGGAAGGTGTCCCTGCCCGTGGCAGGGGGTGGATTGAGATGCTCTTCAAGGTCCCCTTCCAACCCAAACCATTCCATGATTCCATGCAGGTATGAAATCACCCAGCCCAGGCAGCAGAGCTTGACCTGCAACCAGTTCAGGATGTGATTCCCAGAGATCCCATGGATAGGGATGGGATCCTACACCCTCTGGACTCAGTTTGGAAGCAGCACCAGCAGGACTCCCATCACCCCGTGCCCTCAGGAGCTGCCTCCCCACTGTCCCTGCTCTTCCCTGCTCCTGGAAAAAGGGAATTAAATTCCACTGTGTGGCCATAACTAATGGACTGTGTTGCCCCCCTTTAGCCCTCAGTTTCCACATAATTAGCTGATTTTGAATTATTTATGCTGTGAATTTTCCAATAAATAATGTAATAAAGGCATCTCAATTATTTACCCTGTTACGAAGCTGCCTCGATGGCCAGGCAAATATTCCCATGAATCATTGATTTTATGAATTTTGCAATATTAAGGGGGAAAAAAAAAATTATAAATGATCCACTTTCTAAGGCTCTAAATTATTCTTTCATTTCTGCAGCCTTGCATTCTGCTTTGGGGAATCCTCCCTGGGCTTCTGTCTTCTAAGAAATTCTGTAATACATTTGGAAAACTGTGATTATTTTTAGCATGAAAGTTGTTCTGTAGAGCTTGATAACCACATTTCAGTGGAATAAATGGGAGTTCAGGTCAGGAGTGAACAGCAAATGGTTACTTTATCTCACCAGGGGACTCCAGGAGATCACATTCTGCCGGGTTGGGAACTGTAAAATGTGAATATTGTTTGCTTAGAGCATGGCAAGGTGTGTTTCCCCTGCAGACTCTCAGGTGGGAATGGGAGATTTAAGGTAAAATGGGAGTGTTTTGTTGATGGCATTGAATTACCATGAACAAAACAGGCAGAGAGAAAGCTGGGGATCCACATTTGAGGTCCAGATGTGCCTCCAGCAGGAAGAGTCTTGAAATTCCAAATATTTGCAGGCTCAGGGAGCATCTCTGAAGCCATGGAGAGGAGGGAAAAGCAGAGGAGATGCTTCTCCACCCCTTGCACAGCCCTAAAACCCGGACAAGAACACCTTGGAGGACGTGGGAAGGGTTTCCCCACAACCTTCCCTGCCTTCTCCTGGTGGGAACACCAGGAATGAGGCTCCTGCCTGGAAGTGAATCCTGGTGGGCCCCTGGGGAGGATAAACCTGGGAGCAGAGGGTTCCTGTGCTGGGGTGGCTTGGGCTGGAGAGCAGAGATTCTGGAGTCACAGAATCATGGAATCCTGGAAGAATTAAGGTTGGAAAAGCCCTGTGAGCTCACAGAGTCCAACTGCTGCCCCAGCAGTGCCAAGCCCAGCTCTAACCCACCTCCCTGGGAGCAGCTCAGGGAAAATCCCGACTTTCCTGGGCCCTTTCAGGCTGCTGGGATGGTGACACAGGCAAATCCTGCAAATCCTGGGCAGGAGAAGGGAGAAATGACAGATAATAAATGATAATAAATGATATAACAGATGAAAGGAAGCGACTGAAGGATGTCAGGGGCTCACTGATGTCTGTCTGTCTGTCTGTCTGAACTGGAACAAGTTCCAGGGGGTAAATCCTGGCTGCTGCCCTTCCCTGGCTTCCCATCTGCCCCGGGCTCTGGCTGTGCACACTGAGGGAAGCTGTGTGTGTGTGGCACTGCTCTGGCTCCAGTGCCAGCAATGTCCCCTGGCAAGGAAGGTGCCCAGCTTTGTTCTGCTCAGGGATATCTGGGAGACACTCGGAGGAGAGGGATGTGAATGGCCTGAAAACCAACTGGCAGCTGAGCGAGATGGAGCCTCAAAGGAGCTTTTGAGGGAGCTGCTGCATTCCAACCTCCCCTCCAGAGCTCTGGCACAAAGGGGCTTTTCTCTGTGCTTTCCTCTGCTTTCCTCTCACTCTCCTGGTGCTTGTGGGGCTGAGTCTGTGCAGGGCTGGCCCTGGGCACAGGGTGGGCTCTCCTGGGTCCTTGTTCTGCCCTTCACCCAAGTAGACCCTTGTGACTGTGCCCACAGAGAATCCAGATTGGGTTGGGTTGGAAGGGACCTTAAAGCCCATCCAGTGCCACCCCCTGCCACGGGCTGGGACACCTTCCACTAGCCCAGGTTGCTCCAACCTGCCCTTGGACACTCCCAGGGATGGGGCAGCCACAGCTTCTCTGGCAATTCCATCCCAGCCCCTCCCCACCCTCCCAGGGGAGAATCCCTTCCCAATATCCCATCTAAACCCACTCCCTGGCAGTTTAAATCCATTAAACTGACAGTTGAACCCCAAGTCTTGCAGCTGCCTCTGGGCTGGAGCTGCTGAGGGTCTGAGACCCCCCCGTGCTGCTGGTGGGACAGAGCTGGAGCTGCCAGAGATGGGCAAGGACATGGAATGGGTTGGGGTGGAAGGGACCCTGAAGATCATCCAGTTCCACCCCCTGCCATGGGCAGGGACACCTCCCACCAGCCCGGGTTGCTCCAACCTGCCCTTGGACACTTCCAGGGATCCAGAGGCAGCCACAGCTTCTCTGGGCAACCTGTGCCAGGGCCTCCCCACCCTCATGGTAAAAAAATCCCTGAATGACGCCGGACAAAAATTAAAACAGATTTATCTGCGAAACCAGATAACTGCTTATGCTTTCCCTCTCTCCCAAGCCTTTCCCCCTCCTGGCTGATGCTGCAGAGGGATCTCAGCAAGCTCTGGTTGCTCCCTCCCTTTCTCAGGCTCCTGGCACGTTTGGAAGGGGTCAGTCTGTCCCCAAGGAACAACTCTCCCAAAAAAAAGCTGCTGGCAGCCGGGTCACAGCTCCCTCCACCTGCACAGAAAACCTCTCTCACAAAATCCTGGAGGAGAGCCCTAGAGAAGCCTCTCTGTGCTTTAAGAGTGGCTTTGCTCTGAGAGAAGATACAACCCAAAATATCAGAGAAGAGCAGGGAGGCCTCAGTCCTGAAACAAGGCAGGTCTCAGCATTCCAAGGATTCAAGAATCATAAAAATCATTGAATCCCAGAATGGTTTGGGGAGAAGAGACCTTAAAGATCACCTCATTCCACCCCCTGCCATGGGCTGGGACACCTTCCAATAGCCCAGGTTGCTCCAAGCCCCATCCTTGAACACTTCCAGGGAAGTGGGGAAGTTTTCAGACACTGGGACAGCCAGAGCAGGTTCCTGATCACACCCTGAGGCCACTTCCAGCCTTTCCTTTCTGTCTCCTCCTCACCTTCCACACCAAAGACCTACAAGAACCCCCCACTCAACACTCTGCCTCCCCTTCCTAAGAGTGTTTAGGCCAGGCTCACACTGCAGGGGGAGCAGGGGGGGTCCTCTGTCAGGCTCCTTCTCTCCTCTGCAGCTCCCCAGGCTCACACTGCAGCCCTGCTGTGAGAAGGAGGGGCTGATGGGTCCGGCTCAGGGACCACGGGCAGCTTTTCCAGCTGATCCCTGCTGCCCTCTTTGCTGTCAGAGACAGGCTGACATGATTACACGGCCAAGGCACCGTGGCCTCCTCTCTGCACAACAAGAGGGGTCATTTTGCCAGTCAAGCCGTGCTGACAGCAGAAAGCAGCCCAGGGGACACGGGTCGGGTGCAGGCAGGAAGGGTCCATCCGTGGGAATCCCACCGACAGCTCCCTTTCCAGGAACATCCACCCCACTGGCCAGAAAGAAGCAAAACTGGTGTGAATTCAACAGCCAAAAAGAGAAAGGACAAGACCTGCTCCAAGGACAGCCCAGCCCAGCGTGTCCCCTCTCCCACAGCAGCCAAACAGGAGTGTGGAGAGCACCACGTGTAGGGACGGTTTTCCAGTTTGTCACCAGTCCAGACTCTGGATTTGGACTTTAGAAACAGATTAAAAATGCAGATAGAGGCAGATCCTGGAGCAGCTGAATGTCAGCCCTCTAGGTCTTTATTTAAAATCAACTCCAGCTTCGTTTCAATGTCGTCCTCGGGCTGGGGCTTAGCAACCATTTCCACTTGTACAAACAAGTGTATCCATATTTATGCCACCCCAACAGGAAACAAAAAGTCATCAATAAAGCATCTCATTTCTCCAGCTGGAGCAGCAACACGAGGAGCAACAGCAGGCACTGGAAGAGCACCTCCCTGAGGCTTTGGGATACAGAGCATCCAGCCTGGAGAAAGACACTCTGAACGATGGCATCCTTGGGAATGTTTCCCACACCATCCTTGGGAATGTTTCCCACACCATCCTTGGGAATGTTTCCCACACCATCCTTGGGAATGTTTCCCACACCATCCTTGTAGCTGTTTTCCACGCAGTGCCCGGGATGGATCCCGACATGGATGTTTGATCCCGAGGTCTGAGCTGGGTTCCAACGAGCCTGGGAAGCCTGGGGAGCTGCAGAGGAGAGAAGGAGCCTGACAGAGGACCCCCCCTGCTCCCCCTGCAGTGTGAGCCTGGCCTAAACACTCTTAGGAAGGGGAGGCAGAGTGTTGAGTGGGGGGTTCTTGTAGGTCTTTGGTGTGGAAGGTGAGGAGGAGACAGAAAGGAATGGCTGGAAGTGGCCTCAGGGTGTGATCAGGAACCTGCTCTGGCTGTCCCAGTGTCTGAAAACTTCCCCACTTCCCTGGAAGTGTTCAAGGATGGGGCTTGGAGCAACCTGGGCTAGTGGAAGGTGTCCCAGCCCAGGGCAGGGGGTGGGATGAGATGAGCTTTGAGGTCCCTTCACACCCTGGGACAGCAGCTCAACAGCAGCATATCCAAGAGCTCCCCCTGAGCTCCCATCAGGCAGAATCCCGAGGATCCACGTGGATATCCCTGGAAGGGGCACCGAGGTCCTGCTGCTGTTGCTCTGGGGTCTGAGCTCTGGCAAAGGGGCCAAAGGGCTGCTGCCACAGGAGCAGCTGATGTGCACACGCTCTCCGGGCACAAATCCCAGTTTCCAGGGAGGAGGGAACAGGCTGGGTGGTGCAGGCAGAGCAGAGATCAGCTTTTCCAGCTTTCAGGATCATCTCTGCTCTCCTCCTGATCTTTGCAGTACATTTTTCAGGGCTGGGAACCAGCCAGGTCCTTGTCCTTCAAGTGGGCCAGGGATTGCTCCCCAGCTCAGCTGGGGAAGAGGATCTGTATCGAGAGCTCTTGAGACCCCAGTTCCTCCTGCAGATCTTTTCCCTGACCCCGAGTTTGGGCCGTGTCGTCCCGATGGATCTGGGCTCCTCTGCCCAGGCTGATTTGGGCTGCTGGGAAGCATTTCAGGTGCCCCACTGCCCCATCTCACGAGGGTGTTGCTGCAGCTTTTCCTTTCCTCTTCCCTCCCATCAAATATTAGATTTTATGGGATATTGCCTGGCAGGAAAACACCATTTCTGCTACACAGAATCCCAAAATGGGTTGGAAGGGTCCTTAAAGTTCCTCATTCCACCCCCTGCCATGGGCAGGGACACCTCCCACCAGCCCAGGTTGCTCCAACCTGGCCTTGGACACTTCCAGGGATCCAGGGGCAGCCACAGCTTCTCTCGGCAACCTGTGCCAGGGCCTGCCCACCCTCAGTGTAAAAAATCTCTTCCTTCTATCACCTAAATCAATCTCCTGGAGTTTAAAACCACCCCCTCTGTTGTCACAACAGCTCCTCCTCTCTGCCCCCACAAAAGCAGGACAGACCCTGCTCAGACTGAGATCTCAGGGAACAAAGACGATTTTTTCCCACTGATTCCTGCAGCTCCAGATCTTCATTAGGACTCCAGTTTCTGGGATAATTGAGTTACAGCCTAATGCACTGAATGCAGGATCCTGGACTCCAGTTCAAGTGGGATATCACAATGCATTAGGCATTTCTCCTCAGACAAATAACTGCACAAGATGGGTTCCCATTATTTGTGCCTGCCCTCACGCAGGAATTGCCTAGGAGAGCATTGCATTGTGTTTTAATTCAATAAACAAATGTATAACGATATTTTCTGGGAACCATCCTGCAGAAAGGAGCAGAGATTCCCCTCCCTGCTCCTAAACTCCAGCACTGGTAAAAAAATACCCAGAAAAAGGGTGGTTTTAGTCCAGGATTCGAGGTGAGAAAACAGATTTCTCCTCACTCTCTGCCTGAGCAGCAGTTCTGGGTTAAGCCCAGCAAGTCCCACTGATTTGGGATCCTCTCTTTGGGTCCAAGTGTTTGCCCCAGGGAGGCCCCCATGAGAATGGG